CACAACATGTATTGAAGCAGGTGGACCAGGTGGGTGCTGAAGGGGAGGCCGAGTAGAGTGGTCTGGTGAGTGCTTGTCTAAGCAGGGACTTGCCAGACCGCAGCCAAATGCAGGGACAGTGGAGTCACAGAGGGGGAGGATGGTTTGGAAAGAGGGGCTCAAATTGACATAGGGGAGGGAAATGTATATATATTTGTTCCTATGTATAAAGGTGATTTGTTTATTGTAGGAAGTTTATAAATTATAATAATAAAATGATAGCCATTGAACTCTACATTATCCAATAGCATGTGCCACTTACAATATTGAGCAGAATGACTAGACCCTCCCACATGTGGGTTTTCATCTCATGGCTGGGGTTCCAGATGGGGCATGGCCATGGCATAGGTGTCTGGCAGAAATCTCCTTCACTCAGCCATGGTCAGTTATGAATTCCAGACTGATGAGCTATGATACACTCAGCCCCTACTCAAATCATTCTGCCCTTCCTGACCATCACCCATCTAATGCCTCCCAACCTGGTCCCTCGTTACCAACAGTGTGAAGTGTAACAAACCACCATATTCAAAGCAAAGTCCTTAAACACCCTGAAAATAAGAAAAAATAAAAACATGAATGAAACTGCCAATTTAAAATATTATTTAACAAATAAATGTCAAAGGATCTTAAGTTTTATTGCAAAGCCAAAAAATTTTAAATTACTGATTTTAAGCCATAGTGTATTAGTCTTTTTTCACACTACTGTGAAGACACTACTGGAGACCGGGAAATTTATAAAGAAAAGATGCTTGAGTGACTCACAGTCCCAAATGGCCGGGAGGCCTCAGGAAACTTACAATCATGGCAGGTGAAGGGGAAGCAAGGCACATCTTACATGGCAGCAGGTGAGAGAGAGAGTACAGGGGAACCTGCCACTTTAAACCATCAGATCTCATGATAACTCCTTCACTATCATGAGAACAGCATGAGAGAAACCACCTCCTGATCCAGTCACTCCCACCGTGACCTGCCCTCAACACATGGGAATTACAACTCCAGATGGGCTGGGGGTGGGGACACAGAGCCAAACCATATCACACAGGAACCTAAAGGAAGACTAAAGTAGGAAAACTGTCCACACCAGTTGGTAATCCCGATCTGCAAAATAAAACTATGTAATTTTACTCAGATAATGGAATCTTCTCTATAGACTAACTTTCCCATGGAAAAGCTCCTCACCCTCACCATGAAATCTGTGGGACCATTTCCCATTTGTGTGAAGTCCGCAGTCAGTATTGAGACTTCTGAAGGTCAGAAATCCCTTTGCTCAGGCTGCATGGTCTGGACGAGACATTATTAGCTCATAGACATGCAGCAGCTTTTGTGTGAAAGACGTTAGAAGACATTTAAGGTATTTGATTATGACTACTCATTGTACTATTGGAACACATGTACTTATATGCCCTGGAAAAATTTCCATCTTGGAAGAGTATTATTTTGGGGAAAAGTTATTAGAAAACTGTTGTGGACTAGCCGCAGCACAACCTGTGGGTGCTCTATGCCCCAGGGGCGACGAGGGAGTTAAGGACAAAAAGGCAGAGACACAGAAATAGAAATCATTAGCATGGAACCAGGGGTTCTTCAGAAGATGAGGACAGTGAAGACCCAGAGCTGCGGGCTTCACACATATTTATTGCAATACAAACAGAGTTTGATCATATCACTCGAGGTGGGTCGATCATGGGGTGAGGACAATGGAACAGTTTATGTCATCTATATTAGTAGAGGGTATGTGGTTATTTTTAAAAACTAAACTAGTGTTGCATAAACAATAAATAATTATTGAGGTGCAGCTGCATGAGTGTGGGAATGGGTAAAAGCCAGCAAGTTTTGACCACATGATGTACCTCAAAGGAGAGACTATCTCCTGAGCCCAGTCACCTATGGAACAGGTGGGAGACCAGAAAATGCCACTCTCATCTCAACCAGCCCAGAGGCCTCCTGCAAGACCCTTTAGGAGCCTTTGAGCAGGTCCCCTCCTCCAGGCGGGAGACAGAGACCCTTTAGGAGCCTGTGAGCAGGCCCCGTCCTCCAGGCCAGAAGACCCTTACTGAGGTTCAAGCAGCTGGAGGTTGAGCAATGGACCAGGTGTTCCTGTCTTCGATGCCCAAATGTTCCAGGGCTGTCAGCACTTTACAAGCTTTCTCACCAACCCAGCATTGTTTTACAAAGTATAAGCTTCACTCTTTGTTTAGCTAATACAATGCACACACTTCTATAAACTAAAAATCTTAACTAAGGCTGACTTATTAAACAAAGGCAGATTAACTCTCAAGTAGATATGGTGTAGGCCTGCTCTCTATTATTTTGGCCTGCAGAAATCACATTGTTAATATGTGTTTTTAGAGTCTTAGGCGTCTATATTTGAGATCATTGGCAGTTTTCCTCCAATTGTAATGATAATCAGCCAATTTAAGGAGGTTTTCAGTTGCAGAATTTCTGTAGAGGTATCCTCTCCTGAAATCTCAGCATTCACTACTTAAAAACCCATGCATGGATGGAGAATGACATCAGCAAGATGGATGACTAGAGAAGCCTGGTGTTCTTCCCCACCCTCCCCACAAGAAAGGACCAACGCAAAGAAGAAACAGCGCAGGTTTGACTGGAGTGTAGAAGGGAGTGATTCTTTATCAGTCGGTAATCCCGACTGATCAGATGGAGTGCTGCAGAGGAGTGGGAATGCACCTGCGGTGATCAGAGGCTCAGCATGGAGGCACCTGGCCTTTGCAGACTTGTCTTCCCCCGGATTGGACTGGTCTGGACACAGGAGGCACTTCCCATGTAGGGAAAAGCTAAGCAGATTCCCACCAGCACCCACTGCCACTGCAAACATCTACAGCCCTTACAGCAGGAGAATTCCACAGTCTTTGCAAGCCCTCAGCGAAATTTGGGAGTTGCTGGGAATGATCCCAGATCAGGAGCACTAGGCATGTACTCCCCACCCCTGGATTCACGCCTGTGAGCAAAGCTGCTGCAACCCAGCACCATCTTGAGAGTGCATCCTGCCCTGAGGCCAGTAGCCACTGCCCCTCTCCAGCACTGGGGTTCCATCTCCATGATGCCCATATGTGGGAGTTTGAATGCCACAACCCTGGCAGTGCAGAGCCTAGGCCGAGGATTGGCAGTGACTCTGGTCTTGCACAGAAAAAACCCACCCCCTGCTGCTACACATCCAGGTGGAGGAAGAGCCTGCCATTCCTGCCCAGGGTGAACCAGCACTGATTTGGCCAACCTGATGAGTCACCTCCCCTGAGCAGGAGAGGCCCCTGACCACTGAGGACCTGATACTAACTCCAGGCTGGCAGAGCGGATATGTGCCCACACTTGGGGCCTGAGAAACAGCCCTGTGGCACCCACTCCAATTCCCACAGATATGCTGTTGACCTGCCCACGTTGCACCTGCAATTAGGCCTGAGAAACAGCATCATGGGTCACCCCTGGCAGACACTTCTACAGGCCAACAAGCAACTGTGCACCCATGACCCAGACCTGAGAAACAACCCGGTGCCCCCTCAGCCCCCCAGTGGACCCAAATCCAGGCCAGCTGAGGAAGCCATGTGGCTATGTCCTGGGTCTGAGAAAAAGCCCATGGGGTGCCCACAGGAGACACATGCCCAGGACAGTTGAGCAGCTGTGCACTTGTGTCCTGAACCTGAGAAACAGCCCCTGTGGATTGCCCTCAGAAGTCACAGCCCCAGGCCAGCCAAAGAGATCTGTGTTTGTGTCCTGGGCCTGAGAAACAGCCCCATGTCCCCAACCCCAGTGAGCCTGGCACCAAGTTGGTCAATCCACCACGTGGATGCATGTGCCCCTGACCTCAGAAACAGCCTGGTGAGTTCACTTCTAGCAAAGTTGCACTACCACTGCCACAAACCTCTCAGCCTAGGCCACTGAGACCCTTGCAAATGTGGACTGCAGCTGAAGAAACGACACTGCTGCATCAACCTAGAACTAAAGCTAACACACACCACCAGACTGACAGCCTAAGTCCCATCTATAATGGTAAGTCTTTTCCTATAAAACCTACTTCATTAAATTGTAAGAGATGCCTGGCCCACCAGTTGCATAGAAATGAATGTGGAAACACATCAAACATGAAAAGTCAAGGAAACACGACACCTGAAACAGACAACAGTATTTCTCCAGTGCAGACCCCAATCATAAGGAAATATACGGAATGTCAGAAAACGAATTCAAAATGATAATCTGAAAGAAACTCAGGGAGATACAATTGTGTACAGATAGAAAATTCGATGAAATTGGGAAAACAATTTATGATTTGAATGAGAAATTTAACAAAGAGATATGTATCATAAAAAGAATCCTAGGCTCCATAAATAAAGAATCAGTGTTGGAAGAGTGAAAAACAAACAAACAAAAAGGAACCAACAGACATTCTAGAGTTGAAGAATTCAATGAATGAAATTAAAAGTACAACTGAGACCTTCAAGATTAGACTAGGCCAAAAAAGAGAGTTCCTAAAGTTGAAGACAGAACTTTTGAAATAATTCAGGCAGATGAATAAAAAGAAAAATAAAAGAGTAAGAAAGAATGAAGAAAATCCCCAGGATTTATGGGACACAATTAAGTGAACAAATATTTGCATTATGGGTATTCCAAAAGAAGGGAAATGGTGTAGAAAACACATTTGATGGAACAATAGCTGAAGACTTCCCAAGTCTTGGGAGAGAGAAGGGCATCCAGATCCAGGAGGCTCAAAGAACCCAAAATGGAACCTCTTTGAGGCACGCTGTTGAAAGTCAAATTGTCAAAGGTCAAAGACAAAGAATTCCAAAAACAGCAAGCGAAAAGCATTAAGTCACATATAAGGGAATCTCCATTAGACTAAGAACAGATTTCAAAAATATGAAAAAGAGTTTTCTATGATCTCTGTTGCTGAACAAACAACAACAACAACAACAAAAACCAATTTAAGGCACAGCAGGAAGTTCCATTTCTGCTTAACTCTGCACCTGCTCCTGGTACGGATCCTGTGCTGGTAGTACTAAATCCCCTCTGGTGTCCTGAGCAACCCTGCAGGGAGGTTTGTGTCTGGGCTCACACTGACTTTCCCTGACTGTGTCTCTTGCACAGTAATACACAGCTGTGTCCTCGAGGGTCACAGAGTTCAGCTGCAGGGAGAACTGGTTCTTGGATGTGTCTGGGTTGATGGTTATTCGACTTTGCAGAGATGCTGCGTAGTTATAATACCACTTGGAGCTGTAGTATGTCCTTCCCAGCCACTCAAGGCCTCTCCCTGGTGACTGCCTGATCCAGTTCCAAGTAGCACTGTTGCTAGAGACACTGTCCCCAGAGATGGCACAGGTGAGTGAGAGGGTCTGTGAGGGCTTCACCAGTGCTGGACCTGACTCCTGCAGCTGCACCTGTGACAAGACACCTGGAGACGAAAGGAAACAGAAAGTTAAACACCCCTCACTCTGTGAATGCTGCTGTGAACACTGTACCTTCCTGACACTGACCCCATGGGAGCATGGAGAGGAAGACGAGGAAGGAGACAGACATTGTCTGGAGCGCCGTTGACTGCCCTGGTCAGCCAGAATTCAGCAGGCTCTGCAGTTCTGCATGGGGGAGGCTGCATTTAAACAGGAAGCCACACCCTGGCATTTGCCTGTGTACATCACTTGCTGATGTAAGGCCCCAGGAGGGAGAGGCTCACTGAAGTGCAGGGGCCCTCAGGTCTGTGACGGGGTTTCCCCAAAGCCATTTTCTTCAGCAGGTTGGACCCAAAGAGCAGCTCAGAGGCAGGGCCCTTGGGTGTGGTGACTCTGGAATTCCAGCATTTGGCATCTTACATCAACCAAAGTCTACATACTCTTGTTAATGGATTAGAGTCCCTTCATTTATTTGCCCATTCATTCACTCATTCATGCAACAAACCCTGAGGGCCAATGATACTCAGCCCCACCCCCAGGCATAAGGAGGCATCCCTAAGACAGATGCACCTTCCCTGTGCTCCTGGGGCCACGTGCTAGGTCCCTAGAGTAAGAAGGCTCAACACCCACCCCACCCCAGGCAGCCCCGCTGCTCTGGGAGTGAAGGGCAGGAAGACAGCATCCTGGTCGCGGAAAAGCCTGCAGTGGAAAGAGGATGGGTCTTGCTTCTGTATGGTGGGGCAGGATGGAGCCGTGAGCTTCTAAAGGGAGGTCCACAGAGTACAAGGCACAGGGCCAGATCACCCTAAACCCCCAGGCAGTGGAAACACTGCAGGATGGGCTTGAGTTAGTGAGTGGGAGCTCTTTTCTTTCTTTCTTTCTTTCTTTCTTTTTTTTTTTTTTCAAATGCCTCAATCCTGAATCTGCAAGAGTGAGGGCTAATGACAGGTGACTGTGGCACACAGAGTCTAGAAGGGCCCGTTGCTGTCCAGTGACACTTTCTCCCTACGTGGCCCTGAAGTGTATCATCCCAGTTCCTGAGGTTCTCAGGGCCTGAGGTTCCACCCTAACTCCTCAGTACCCACTTGTGTCACCCACAGACATTGCATCTGTGTGGTAGGAACCGGGGTGCTACCACCTCTCGCCACATCCGAGGGCCATTGCAGGCTGGCTTATATGCGGGGTTTGTGGTTCCAGGGCATGGAAGGTCATCTGCTTTCAGGAGGACGGTGGGTGGCATGGAGCTCACCACACAGCCAGGGCAGAAGGCTCAGAGCCACTGCGGAAAGGCGGCCCCCAGGGCATTCCTGCTGACCGGCTGGAGCTGAGAACACGGAAACCCTGTACTGGTGAAGAGAGTGTGGGTCAGTGAGTGTGGGCTGCCTCCCAGCCATGTGGGGCTGTGCCTCTGTAGCGGGCGCATCTATGTCCTGTCGGTGGTGGACCCACTGTCCTCATCCACAGCTCTCACGCCTATTCCTGACTCACTGTAGGGTCTGACTATGGCCCCGATAGACAAAGGTTTTTCCGCCTGCATTCTCGGTCTACAGCCCATGCTGAGCCCAGGGTGAGGTCCAGGCTTGCACAGGAAGGAGACACTGATGGTGATGTGGTGGGCTGTAGCCCTGGGGGTGGACTGTAGCCCATTTCCTGGGCTCTGAAGAGTTCTGGTGCAGGATCAGGAGGTGGGATAGGTCTGGACAGACAGACGGCGTGTCCTACAGGGCCCACATTGTGGGGCTTGGGAATGACGACTTGCCCAGGAGAGGGCATAGCCTCCACCCATCGCTCTTGACAGGCTCTGTGGTGTGGCTTTGGAAACTGGTGAGAATGGTCGCTGCCGATGCTGCTGCTACAGGAACAGGCACACTGAGCAGAGGCCGCAGTCCTCAAGGAGCCACGTCCTCAAGGGTCACAGAGTTCAGCTGTTCACAGAGCCATGTCCTCTCCAAGCCATTTTGCAGCTGTTCATACCACCCACCCAGCACCTGCACGTCCTGGAATTGCCCAGAAAGCCCGCCACAAGTTAAAAAGAAAAAGCAAAGCTGTCTCTGTTCCGATATTATATGGTTGTAGACAGATAAAATCTTAAAGAATCTGCAAAAAAATTCCCTGAACAAAAACAGAGACTGTTCAAACTAAGAAAATCAAGGACATTTGAACATATAAGCGCCAAACAATTAGAAAATTAATTTTGAAAGGGAAAAACTTGTGAAGACATAAACAGCAATCAGGATGTACCTAAGAAGAAACATAAAACGATGCGTGAGATCTTCACCGCGAAAATTGAGAAACGTTCTCAGAGGCTAGGAGCACATGAGGAGACACACCACATACTGGACCATGGACTGGAAAACTTAGTGTAAGGAAGATGCCAACTTTCCCTACATAAAATCCATAGTTTACATGTAATTCAAGTCAAAATAGCAACCCCATTACTGGAATTGTTCCAGGGCATGTAAGTACACATGCTCCAGTGACGCAACGAATGCTTAGTGATCAGAAGCAAGTACCTTAAATGTCTGATAACACCTTTCACACAAAAGCTGCTGCACGCCTCTCAGCTAATAATTCTTAAGCTTCGTTCAGACCCTGCAGCCTGAGCGAAGGGATTTCTGACCTTCGGAAGTCTCAATTCTAACTGAGGACTTCACAGGAATGGGAAAAGGTCCCATGGATTTCAGGGTGGGGGTGGCGAGCTTTTCCAAGGGAAAGTCATTTTGTAGAGAAGTTTCCCTTGTCTTAGTAAAATCACATAGTTTTGTTTCGCAGATGGGGATTACCGACTGATAAAGGCTTCCTGATGTGAGAAGTTTTTCTGCTGTATTCTCCTAGGTTCCTATGTGACACGGTTTGGCTCTGTGTTCCCACCCACAGCTCATCTGGAACTGTAATTCCCATGTGTCAGGGGAGGGGCCAGGTGGGAGGTGATTACGGGTGTCTGCCACTTGCCCAGCTCAGTTTTGTATTTTCAGTAGGGACAGGTTTTGCCATGTTGGCCAGGCTGTTCTGGAAGTCCTGACCTCAGGTGATCAGCCTGCCTCGGCCTCCCACAGTGCTGGGATTACAGGTGTGAGCCACTACACCTGGGCCCCAGGCTACACTTCATTCATTGCTTAGGGTAGGTTGGGAGCAGCCTTAGTCCTCAATTAAGGGGCCCAGCTGCTCAGGAGATTGCCTTCCGGAGACGACTTCGCGCCCCACCTGACTCAAGGTCTTTCTACCTGGCTGGTAGCAACGCACACTGCTTTCCTTGTGTGGGCCCGGCACGGGTGTTGGTCCACAGGTTTCTGGTGATTTTCCCCCAATACTGAGTAGTTTCTTTTCATGCACGCGTAGGTCAGTTCTCAGCCCCAAACTTGAGGGCTCCCCTTCCCGCCACAAGTCTGCAGCTGCCACCCACTGGCTGCACAGCAGGCAGCTCCCCAGTCTCCGGGCTTCAGGCAGCTGCTGCCTTGAACTCTGCTCTCTGTCTGCTCACCTCACTATGCCTTTCCCCGCGTCCCGGCCGTGGCTTTCAGGCAATAGCAGGATTTGTGAGTTCGTTTTTCTTTTCTGAGGGGTTAGGATCCTGCGATGCTTGTTTTCAAATATCGGTAAACTACTGTTTTTTTTTTTTTTTTTTCCTTTGAGAGAGAGCTTCCCTCTTGTTGCCCAGGCCGGAGTGTGTAGTGGTGCCATCTCGGCTCACTGCAACCTCCCGTCCCGGCTTCAAGCCATTCTCCAGTCTGAGCCTCCTGAGTAGCTGGGATTACGGGAGCCCGCCACTACCCCTGGCTAATTGTTGGTATTTTAAATAGAGATGGGATTTCACCATGTTGGCCAGACTGGTCTTGAACTCCTGACCTCATGTCATCTGCCCACCTCAGCCTCCCAAAGTGTCGGGATTACAGGCGTGAGCCACCGCGACCAAACTGAAAACCACTTTTTAAAAACATTTTCACCTCAGTTCACCTCAGTTTTCTATTTGTTTAAGGAATGTGGGTAAGTGCATTTGACACCACCAAAACGCTTGAACCAGTGTTTAAAATTCTATGTTAGAACCTGTTAGACAGAGTGTAAACTGATCCTGAACTCAAATGCAGGACAGTTACACAGAGTTCCTTTTTACGTGAGGTTACAGCCCTTGCGTTTTGCTCAGTGGGCGCAGGCTGAGAGCTGCCTGGGCTTTTGTGGCTGTGGCCCAGGCCTCTTGCCCGGGCCACAACAGCACCGTCCCCAGCCCTGCCCCCTGCCCCCAGTGAGCTGGGAATTTCTCACGGGTCTCCTTATAACGGCAATGTTTCTACAAGCCCACGCCAGGGAAGTATTAAGCACTCCTCAGTGTTTAACTTAGTCAGCGAGAGGCAGGGAATGACTTTCTCTACAGGGTGATGATTAAAAAGAAAACTCTGAAGATGAGAGGTGCAGTGAGAGGCCGTTGGCTCAGGGAAAAGAAGACCAAATACCTGACTCCCCCGGAGGTGTCTGCCCTGACTCCTCACCCCACCTGCTCTGGGGCCACCCGTGGTCTGGAGCGCCACCTGCTGGTCTGTGCTTATGCAGGGAGTTTGGGTGGCTCCCACTGAGGTCCCCATTCTGTGTCTCCCACGGGAATATGTGGCCGTGCCCTTGGCCGTCACGGAGCTCAGCTTTGGGGATAACTGGGCCTTGGATGTGTCTGTGCAGGCCGAGAGCTGGCCTGGAAGGGTGGGCTGACGTGTGTGCTGCCCCTGGATCTGAGCTGCCCCGTCCACTGCAGCACCTTCCCAGAGTGTGGCGGGGTCCAGGGCCAGAAATCCGTGAGGTCCTGGCCAGCCCTGGGCATGAGTCTAGTGGCCGCACCTGCTGCAGGACACTCAGGGACAAGAAGCCAGAGATGAGTCACAGATGCACCACAGCCCGTAGCCCCGGTTGTGAAATCTCTGAGACTCGCGTGCAGGCACAGCCGTCAGGCAGAGACGACATACAGAGATCTCACACTCTCCTCGGCAATGGGCCTGACCTTTCCAGCGGCCTTCCCAGGACAGAGCAAGTAAAGGTAACTGGCCCTCCCTAGCCGGAGGTTGCATTTCACTGGGTCTCTGTGGCTCAGGAAGAAACTTCTCTCCCCTCATGTGCTTGTTATCCCTGACACAGTGGAATCAGACTGGGCACCACTTCAGGGAGAGTGGAAGGACACGGAGTG